CATTTTAATGCTTCCCACCTCAAATTTATCTGCAGAGGGGAATAAAGATGAAGGCCGGCCGAGGGAGGAAGCGAGCAGCTCGGATAAATCAGAGGAGCAGAAACAGACGGGCAAATCTCCCCCCAGGGGGTGGAGCGACACCCGCCACCACCACCCATAATTATTTATTTTACTGGGATGTAAACGTCCTGGGGGGGGCGCCGTGTGAACCCCAGCAGGACCTGGGGGGTCACAACAACCACACAAACCTGCAGAAGGAAAACAATCACCTGAACAGAACGCGCTCCAACCTGCAGACGCAACAAAACGCAGGCGCTGAATGGCAGACACATGCATCAGACGCAGCTACAGCAGCTGCAACGCATGCAGCTACAGCTGCAACGCATGCAGACTGAGTTTGTTGTGTCAGAGTTTGGTTTGCTGCTGATCCCCTGCAGGGCTTCAACCGCTCCGTTATCACAAATAATCACTTCCATGCCAGCAGGAGGGAAAGGTGTGTGTGTGTGTGTGTGTGTGTGTGTGTTTGTAATACCTTGTGGGGACGATTTTCCTGACATATACTACGTTGTGGGGACCAATGCTCCTCGTGGGGACCGGAGCCTGGTCCCCACAAGGGGAAACCCTGTTTATGGGTCAGGGGTCAGAGTTAGGACTAAGGTATGAATTGAGTTTTGGGTAGGGTTAGGGTTAGGAAAAGGGTAAAGGTAAGGTTTAGGCTGTAGAAATGAATGGAAGTCAATGGAAAGTCCCCACAAAGATAGCAACACAAACATGTGTGTGTGTGTGTGTGTGTGTGTGTTAGGAACATGTACACTCATCTGTCTGAGGAATGAAATCGCTCTGAAGGGTCAACAGGTTGGATAAAATCTCTGGTTTCCAGTTAAAACATGAAACTGAATCAGAAACTTTTGGGTCCAGAACTTCACCGGTTCTGGTTCTGGTTCTCACACGAACCTCAGTTACTGGAGGTTCTGATGAACATTTTGAGTCATAATGAATCTGATTGAAATCATCATTCTATCCAGCTGGGCTGATCAGAACCGAGCCGGTTCTGATATCCAGCCATGTTTGTTGATTTTTAATTATTTTAAAATGCATAAAAGAGAAAAATGTTAAGATTATTCATATTTATGCATCAAATCAAACTTTCTTCATTTTAAAAAGTGAATCAAAGTTCACGTCTCAGTTTTAATGAATAAATGGGAAAATGTTTTAATAATCGGTGCATCTTTGTCTAATGAACTGACTCTATGGAGTAATGGTTCTGGTTCTGGTCCATCGGAACCATCCCGGGTCGGGCCGGGCTCTACTTACAGGCGCTCCGCGCTCCGCGGGACTCCTTTGGGTACCGTCTTCAGACCCAGACCCTGGCAGTCCACATGCGACCCGGAGCAGCTGCACTTGTGTGGGCATCCATGCGCCGCGGCGGCCCACAGCAGCGCGGCGAGCAGCGCAGCCCAGACCCGGAGCCCGGCGCGCCTCTCCGACCCGCTCACACACATATCCCGGTTCCGACAGGCTGGGTTCACAGCAGCGACTCCGAGGAAGGAGGATCGGTTCGGTTTGCTCCAAGTGAAAACTTTCCCCCGTGGGTTTGGAAGTTTCTCCGCTTTGAAACAGAAAGCTGCGCGTAAAATCTCCCCAAAGCGCCGCGGAGCCGCGGATCCACTCACAGGGCGGTCAGAACCCGGTCCGGACCCGAGCCGACCCGGTGGAAGCGTTCTGCTGGGCTGGGACCTCCGAACTGAACATCCTCCGCTGCTGCAGGAAAAGTTCCGGAGCGCAGCGGCGCGGCAGACTGGAGCGACCTGCGCGGAGCATGCGGGTCCCCCGCAGCACAGCAGAGCGCCTCCCCCCGGCTCTCTCTCTCCTGATGTCACCAGAAATGGAGCGGGAGACTTCCCCAAACTTTCACTCGCTGCAGCTTATCTGCAGCAGGAACCGGACCGAGCTCTGGTTCCTCTCCAGCAGGTCGGACTGGACCCGAAATCTCCGAACCAACCAGCAGAGAAACCTCCACAAACTGAACAAATGCAGCAGTTTTTATAGTTTCAATTAACACTTTCAAACTAAAGATGTGTTATCTCTCAAACTCAGGTATTAAACCCTTAAAATGAGTCGTTCGTGGTTTTAATATCCCTACTCTGATCAAATCAGGCAGATCTGATCAGAGTTCGGCAGAGAGCCGCTCATCCAGACAGAAATGTTTCCAGATTCATGTTTCTGGGGGAACACCAGGACCACCACAGTGGATCAACTTTCTAACTGTCACATCTGCAGCAGCCTGGAGCAACAAGCCGCAGACGTGCTGCTGCCCTCTGTTGGCGGAGGAAGACTGGAGAAAACTCAGTTTAGACTAAAGTCTATTTATGTTTAGTTTCAGGTGTTTCCTCTGATGATGAGACGGAAAATTAACAACAGTCTGGATATAAAATGAATATTTCTGATACTGTGCAGCTTTCTGCTCTGCAGTGGAAAACCTGAAACGTCCAGCAGAAACATCAACATCTCGGTTCTGAAGTCCGGAACCGGCCGGCTGCAGCGGATCCAGCCTAAATGCTGCAGCAGAGAGCAGAACACTCCACTGCTGCTGTGATGCGTTCAGGGACGGCTGGGAAACCCGTCAACATGTCAAAACAACTAATAATTTAACAATTAGGGCTGTCCCAACTCAACGTTTTCACTTCTGATGAGATACCGATATCGCAGCTGTGAGAACTGATCGATGCCGATGTGATAACAGCAGGAATCACAAAGTTTTTGCAGCTGCACCGACTCAGACTTAAACGTTTGTGCATCAACACACAAACGTACAAAATCCAAGAAATTCACAATAAATTTGTGCCTACCCATGATGGAGGTAAAGAAGCTAGCTAGCAATCAGGGGCAAATTAGCAGCTAGTTAGCGTTAGCTTCAGCCAGAACACAATGAAGATGCATTCGCTGGCGACTCAAGCTACACAGAACATATGAGATTAAATAATGTAAAGCACTTTGAAATGCCTTGCTGCTGAAATGTGCTACACAAATAAAATTTGATTGATTTGATTGATTGAATAGATCCGCCAAGACAAAAGCTCAGAGCTGTGAAGAACGTATTTAAGGCCAACTAAAATAAAGAAATTAAAAAAGACATTTTAAGGGCCTGAACATGATTCTAAGACTTTTTAAGACATTTTTACGACCATTATGAATAAAAGTTAAGACCTGTATTGTGATGGAAATGTGCAAAAGACGATAAATTGGCGATAAATTTTAGATTACTCGTTTTTTGGCTGAAATCGGTCTGATTTCCTACATCAACATCTGACCCAATCAAATCTTGTTTTTCTCTCAAATATTGGCTCAAATTCCTAAACAACCTGGATAAATTTTTAGTAGCCTCATCCATCCAAACCTATGTTCATTCAAAAAATAAAACCAACCAAATATTAAATCATTTTTATATTCTCTATTTTTTAAAGTTGTAGAAAAAGAGAAAATCTGATTATTTTGTCATTTTTAACCCTTTATTATTTAATGCTAATTGTCTTATTGAAGCTGTTTGCACTGAGCTGAGTTTTATTCTCCAATAAATCTGTTTTTATCTGGAATGGAAAAATTTTCTACAGAGCAAAGCCAGTAAAACAATCATAAACTCGACTTTTATTTAGATCACTGAACATCTAAATTGGTCATTAGTAATATTTATTTAATCCAAAACAGAGTTTCTGAATATTTCATTTGTTTTATTAAATGCTGTTAATGTCAGATTTTCAGATGGAGGCTGAAAGCTTTGACTCCAGAATGTTCTGTTATGCTGATGCTGCAATTCCCAGAAGTGGATTTGTCTCTGGAGGAATAATCTCAGTCTGAAACTGTTAAAATCCACAAAGAAAGTCTGAAAATGGCAGATATGGAGTCTTGACAAAAGTTCAGTCTGGAAGACTCTCTAGTCGCACCTGCCTCATCAATCAGCGCCTCCCTCTCTGCAACCTGGACCTATCAGTGCCGGTCCAAGTCTCACTCCAGCCAATCATCGTTTGGGCTTCAGTTTACTAGGACCTTCACCCACGGCCTCCTCTGCTCACCAGCTGCGATCAACCCACCTCCACCCCATCTCCACCTCCCGCTCCCGGCTCTCAGGCCTCATCCTCCTCCGACCGCCGCCACCAGTTCAGGCCCGGGGCGTCTACATTCCTATGCTGCATCAGGAATGTTCATCGAGCTCATCGAAGTCCAGCTCGACGTCCCCGGCCGGGGCCTGAACGCCGAAGGACTTTGTGTTTATTTTCATCTTCATTTTGTCATTAAACTCTTTTAATCGCTTTCTTTCTCCGTCTGAGTCTGTCCAGATTGAAATGCATTAATAATCAATCACAAGTCAGTTCAGAAAACAACTTGACGAGAACACTGTAAAAACACAAAATCTTATTTTGATACAAGTTCTACTGCAAATATCAGAGTAGACTTAAAATAAGGCAGAACTGACTTAAAAGTAACTTTTCAGCAAGAAACTTTTTTAGCCAAAAATGACTTAATATGAAAAAGTGCAGATTGTTTCACTTATAAAAGTGTGGCCTGTTGCAATAAATCACATAATAAATTAAAGGGAGCTCAATTCTTTCCATTTGCATGATTTATTGTTTTTCTCTTTCTACATAACCTGGATGATAAAGTCGTCAGGTTTTACAGAGACTGAATAATTCATTTTATCTGTTGTTATTTTGGATATTTAAAATGTCTTCCAGTTCCTGCGTTAAATGTTCACTAGAAATAAAAGTTTATTGACCTTTGAGAATGAGTTTTTACATTGCCGTTATATCAATAGAAAATGGTCTCAAAACAACTATATTATCGTTTATCATAACTTCTGGGATTATTTATCATCCAGCAACATTTTCTACTGTAAGGCCAAAAAGCAAGACATTTTCCCATAATATAGACCACAAATAGACTAAAGTAGACCAAAAATACTTGGTAGGATTTGGTGTTTTTGCAGTGAAGACCTGGGTTTAGTAATAAAACTTATTTAAGTCTGACCTCTTAAATGAAGTCTGGCAGAGACTCAGCCAGCGTCAGGCTGATGGCAGCAGAGGGGAAGTAGAGCAGAACAGCAGCTAATTTCAGGAGCTTCCTGGGGGATTTGCAGGGCCTGGAGTTTCCTGGGCTTCACTAAGGTTTCCTCCACCGCCGAGCCAGCAGGTACCTGAAACAAAGCCAAGACCTTCCTTCATGCACCGCATGTTATCTCAAAGCTCCTGTCTTTTTACGGAGTGAACGCGCCGAGGGAAGAGCCGCAACATCAGAAAGTATCAAAGAAAAGGGCAACAAAGACCTGCAGGATCACCAAGAACTCCGAAATACTGTCAGGATATGAGTTGATTTGAGACACTGGTGGACCGACTGCCACCAGAGGCAGAATGTAGAATCATATTTTATAGCAGTAAAATATCAGAAAATAAAGTAGCACCTCTGCTCAAAAAGTTAAAACGTGGTTGCTAGGTAACGGTCTGGGCTTGGCTCAGGTTGCTAGGTAACGGTCTGGGCTTCTGATTTTAAATGTTACATTCTGGAAATTTCAAACAGGTAATTTTCCAAACACCAAAAACCATGAACTTATTGTCAGAAACCCAAATTGAAATACAAAAACATGCTAACTTAGATAATTCAGTGACTTCAATCATATTTGACCAGTATTGATATTCTGAACCGTAGAAAACATTTTCTTGATTTATTTGATGAAAATATTTTTGGGGAAAAAAAGAAACTGAAAATATTTAGCATCTGTGATCACATAAATATTTGACCCCGACTCGTTTTTCCATGAGTCGATGCTGAGTTATAGCTCTAAATGTGACTAAGGACACACACTGACTCAAAAGCACGAAACATAAATAGTTTCCTGGGTAGAAAGTCATGAAAAGTTCTTTGATATTTGTATTGGAGGGAATTTAAAAGAGCTTATAGCTAATCTATTTAATCAGTCCCTCATGCCTTTCCAATGCATACTTCATTTTATTTGCAACAGGAGAAAAACTCCTGGTGAACTCCTCATGAACAATAAAATGAATGCAATCCAAATCCATTTCCCCTCATTATTCTTTTTAAAACTTTCAAGCTTTAATGTCCTTAATTTCTGCTTCATCACATCACCATCATAAAAAACAACAACCTTAAAATAAACGTGATCCTGAAACTTTAAGCTGGATCTCTGGTCCAGTCACATGGTTGAATTCCTCATCAACACTCAGTCAGCAGCCATGTTTCCATCCTACTACCACGCAAAATATGAATGAACTTTTCAAACCTCAGAAAAACAAAATGAAAGTAAAATGTAACTTAGTCGTGTTTCGCCCCAGTGGTTTGGAGCGAATCAACAAGGGTAAGCAAAGTGTGTAAACAGGAAGTAGACGTTGCTAGCAGCTAGCATGAACAACACATCGCATAAAAACAGAGAGGTTTCCAGGATTGTGTTGCTATCAGATAAGTTGTACCGTATTTTCCGCACTATAAAGCGCACCTAAAAACCTTCAATTTCCTCAAAAGCCGACAGTGCGCCTTATAATCCGGT